ACTTTGAGTGATTTCTTGAGGACTCCGGACGAATGCCGGGAATTTCTTGTAATCACAATGTTGGAGATGTACGTGAAGGTCGAAGACGTTCCAAAAAACGAGGTTGTGCGTAGTAGAGATAACCCCCAGTCATCGAGTGGTTATTCTGGAGCAGTTTTTGCCGGACAGGTTCCAGATGAAAGAGTTTTTCTTGATTTAAACTTATCACCGCCGGCGAATGAGCAGCGAGAAAATAATTTATACCCTGCTTTCCAGCGAGAAAATAATTTATACCCTGCTTTCCATAATTCACAAGACGAGTGGTAAACTTCAATTTTCATTTGTGTTAATTATGTATATTTTTGGCGTATTGAATTTGTATTAACACTCATATATTTAATAGGGGGTACCGGCCGAATATGTATGTATAACGCCACTATACCTGGCGCTATACATTAATGATGTATGTATAGCGCCAGGTATTGTAGCGCTATACCTGGGCGTGTCAGATTTTACAGTATAGCGCCACAATACCTGACGCTATACATTAACGGTGCCGTTACTGTTACTGTATAGTGCCAGATATTATGGCGCTATATATAAAAATGTAATTTTTTTTTACCAACTATTTGTATAGTTTGAGTTCAAAAGAACCACATTTTGGTTCCGGAGTCACGTATCTGTCCAATTAGGGTCTAGCTCAAAGTTAGATACAAAAGGTCTGGTCTTGTCTAATCAGATTTGATACATCCACTCAAAGTTTAATTCAGTGAGTTGAGTTTCGAAGAATTATCGATTGAATACTTGTCCAATTAATCGGGTGATAGCTCAGTAAAGTACCCCATCCACTTATCTTTTAATGATAGACAGAAAAGACATGCAGGAGATGGACAAAGAGAAACAAATTCGGTAATTTAATAAATAAATAAACAACTATGAAGATGCGGTTTTCATAGTTAGATGGTTCGGACACCGTGCAGAGGAGAAACAGATGCTCCGGTTAGGAGGTGTGAGCGGTTGGCTTTGACAGGTACAAGAAGAGGTAGAGAGCGGTCCAAAAAGTATTGGGGCGAGGTGATCAGGCAGGACATGGCGCAACTCCAGATTTCCGAGGACATGACTTTTTATAGGAAGGCGGAGGTCGAGCATCAGGGTTGTAGGTTAAAGGGTAGTTGAGCGGTTTTCCTCTTTGTCCTAGTTTCCCTTTTTGTACCGACGAGTACGATAGTGTTTTGTCTAGCACTGCCATCAATTTATGTTGTATTTCACACCTTTGCATAATATTTGTGTTCCTGCTTTTCCATTTATTTATTGTCTCTCACGTTGTTGATTATTTTTTGGGTTTTG